CCAACATGACATAGAGATGTCAAACCTCTTTGGCAGCAACCGGGGCAAGACCCTACTACCTATACTTTGCAAGCGCTTGGGCCTACATCTACAAGGTGGTGCCAGCAAGTCCAGAAAAAAAGCTGTGTCAAGAACTTACTGTAGTTTTATTTGGACCAAAGTTACTTTTTATACTTTAATCAAGCTAGATCCAATTCAATATGAAATCATGGAAGATTTCAAGTATATTGTTCCCCACCACCAGGATGATCAAGAGAAGCCTTTCAAAAGAATGGTCCAAATGGAAATGGTGGCAGTGGTGGCAGTTATAACTCATCATCCAGCAGCTATCTTACAGTTTAGAACTGATTTAATAGCCAGCTAGAACTATATTAAAAACTTTCTAGAAACTCAAGAGTTCATATAGAAAAAATGAAAGAATGAACAATGTAGGAACCATTGGATAAAAAAGAGTTATATCTAATAAAATATGTATAGTTGCTATACATCTTAGGGCCTACTTGTGAAGAAGAGGTTAAGGGCTTGTGCCAGCCCATTACCACCCAAAGCGGCCCTTGACTGGCTTTCATGGGGCAGGCACAACCCAGTTAAGCAGCTCTTGGCATATTTTAATTGGATTAATAAAATTTTGGAGAATTTGTTCATGCCATGTAAGAAATAATATAGGTTCTCTAGAACTGTACAAGCCATGTCAACTATATATAAACAATTAAAGAGAAAAAATTTATAGAAGTCCACCTCTTTTGTCCAATCAATTAAAGGTTTTGGGATAATTAAAGTTAAATATACTTAGGCAATAGTAAGATCAACTTAACTGGGGAGGCTGATTAACATGTATATGCTCCCCTGTTAACCTCTAATAACATAGCTCACCAGGCTTCTGTCTAGATTGCCATATTATTGACAATAATAACTCCTATAACTTGCATCACACTGTTGGGAGCCATTTGACTTGAACTGTTATACATGATAGTATGAAAGTGGGAGGTATGGTGTGCAATTTGTAAACCATATGTAGATAATCACATAAAAGCATCTCAAAAACTGAACACACAAGACTCTCCACATGTTGTCCTACAATTAATCTATAATTTTATGACTATGATTTTCCCATCAGATGGCCATGGCAAATTTCCATTATCACTCCATACATGCATATGCATGGACCATTCATTCATTGATTCAACATGAGCATAACTTTGATTGGGTCAGTAGTTTGTCTTTGGTCCCTAATATTATTGCCCAAGATGGGATTTAATCAGTATGGTAGATGAGTTTTCTAGCAAAAGGTGAAGTCTATCTTCTATTTGTAGATCATTCATTTTTTCCTATTACAATGTCAAAACTATCTAACATATGGTATTTGTTGATGGCATGTGTGAAAGCAGCTGGTTTGTGTAGACTTTTCAATTTACCTTTTTTAATTGGAGAACCAGGTCTAGTGGAGGATAAAGAATATAGTATTATATATCACGGCATTGATATGTTTGATAAATCAAGTGTTGAGAGTGAGATAGAGATGTTTCTGAGGTAAGTTAAAAATATCTATTGTCATACTAAATCTATTATATACTAAAATAGTAATTCGTACAGGGATTTGAAAATTTCCTCCAGTCATGAGGCTTTGGAAGTCTAATTTATTTTGCTATTTGGATGCAACTTAAAATTCTCAAGACCAAAACTACTATTTACTTTGCAACTTATCTTGGAATTTCAAGGCCAACACTTTACAGGTATACAAAGCCATCGACCCCAAGTGGAGGGGGATTCCACTAGCAAAGGTACTAAATCATCTTTAGGTTAATGTTTCTATGAATCATACTGGTACAAACTAGGGACTATCAACTCCTGCTCCTGCTATAGAACTATAGGATATTGCTTTAATCAATGTTAAATATAACAAGCTTTAGCTATACTTTAACAAAGACACTTAACAAGAAATCATTGATAAGAATACTCAAACGATGTGCTATATGTACTGCATTATATAATTATGAGTTTAATTTTATATTCTACAAATCATTTCCAGAAATTAGTCTTAGTCTTCTTTGTTGTAGCCTATTGCAAGCTTATGAGATATGGTTTTTTCTGTTCATACTGTGATCTATAGTGCAATTCATTACATTGTTGTGTATGAATTCTTAACCACAAAGTAAGCACATGCTATTTTTAACATTTACACATAGGCTGTGAGGCGGTTCGGTAGGCCAAAATGACTAAGAAGTGACAATGCTTTTGAGCATAATGAGGTTGAGGCTGATATGATGAGTTATTAGGGGGTAGGAGCTAGAAGTTTTATACACATGATATCAAAATGAAACTAAGTATAATGTATTTGTGGTTTTTGGATCTTTCTTGGCTACTACTTACTGCTTTATTGCAACACATTAGGCACTTGAACTGTCTCAGATAGTGTCGGTAATGGCTTATTTCTTAATGACTTATGTCGAGTGGTAAGTAGAGCGTTGTGGCTTGAAATTTTCGAGCATATCATATAATTTTACAAGCACTTATTCGAGTTTATGGAGGATATTGGAATTTTGGATATCTTTAATCCATGACACAAGAAAAGCTTGCAATGTGTATATACACTTTACTTTGTAAAGGATATTTCCTACTAGGTTGCTACATAGAATCTTTATAAAGTACTATTGAGAGCTTTGCCACGGGTGAGAGTGGGATATTCTTTAAATATGCTGAGATTCTTGTATAGAAACTCATAGAGTGCGAGATAGACAATATAGGACAAGAATTTAGACATTTAGCATGGAGTTTAGATAGCAAGAGAGCATGTTTTCATTGTTAATGGTGTTCTACCCTCAACAAATAATGAACCCGACATAACTTTGATTGGAGTTTATTGGAGAAAGATTGCAAAGCTATTCCATTATGGGTTTAATCCTTCCCTAGTTGCATGTTGGGAGCTTCACCACCTTGTAAATCTTAGAGCATGAGGGTGAGAGTGGGATATTTCTTGAATATTCTAAGATCTTTGTATAATATAGGGTTATTAGGATGCAGAAGGGGTGCTCTGGGCCCTTGTCACCAAGTCAACTTCACAGTTGTAATAACAAACTAATTATAAAGGTGATATATCTCCAAGATATTCGGATTGAATTATTAGTAAATATGTGCTAGGGTTGTTGCTATTAGGGTGATTTCATCGATGGGATGCTTTAAAATGCAATCCAACTCATTTTGCAAGCACCTCCACATTTGTTACTCCCAAATGCCATGATAAAGACTAGAGCTTTCATTTGTTGGTCATACAAGTTAGACAACTCACAAGAGCATCAAAGAGTTACAAAATTTTGAGGAGATCTCCATTAAGGCATACTACTGGCCCACAGAGATGTCTTGGGCTTACATTTGTAACAAGAGCAACTTCTCCCATTCGACAGTCATTTTCTTATACAACATTGTTAAGCATCTCATTATAGAATATGCGCCAAAGAGAAATGCATGCCCTAAATACAATGGCACTTTTAAATTCACAAGCTAGTGCCATTTTATATTTAGTAGATTTTCAAAATTGCCCTAAAGACTAATTCCTAAAACTGGATGAAAGCCCAAAGTGTGGTTTTATATATGATAGGGGATATAAAGGGGATCTAAATATATGGTAGGGATAGTGGGTAAGTTGGGCATAAATAATTAATCTAACACATTGTTTAGCTTTCCATTGGGTGTATTTTAACTTGTTTTGCATTTAGTTTAGGTCTAAACCCAAGATCTATACCATATTAATTATTGGAGTACCCAGTATTAAGCCATCAGTATGTTAAAATTATGCCAAACTTCATTTGGTTTTATTTTGCATGTTGCCTTTAGTGTTGGGATGTTGGATGGTTTAAGACTATTTTAATATCACTCATGCTCCTATTTTTTCACTCATTGGTTGTATATTTAAGAGTTGTTCTATGCTTTTGTTCCTTTATTCTATGGCTATATGTTTATGAGTTTAGCTCCCTCTCATTCAATGACCCAAGGCTTTGAAATTTGGGTTTCACTTTGTTGCCCTTTGCATATGTGTCCAAGGATTAGGTTCCACTATGTGTATGGTAAATTAGAGTATAGGGTGAAAATCACATACATTACAACTATACAAAATGATTAAATCTAGAAACCATACAAATAATTCATTGATTGAACTTTGTTAGCATTCACACATTATACTCAAAGGAAAGAGTCAAGTACATCTCTCCTTATAGCTACACTTTTTAGTGGAATATAGTAAATTAATAGAATCATACTTGCCTCATTGCTTGCATTTGAGTGCTTGCATTGAGATAGTTTCAACTCTACATGAAGTAAATAACGCAAGAGTGGGCTTTCAGCGTAAAAATCCCAAATCCCAAATTCTCTTAAACACTAGTTGGATGTGCAAAATAATTGAAGCCTCAATTTGGATATACTAATTTGTTACACTATATAACATTTATATGAAGCATTATTATAAATAAATTGCTATGCGTTATATATAGCAATGTTTGGTTTGCTTAATAGTATTTTTTTTATTACTTGTTAATCCAATTGATCAAATAAAGTTTATAATTATAAGCATATTTGTAATTTATAAACATAAAATTAATCTTATTGCATATCAACCATTAGATGATAGAATAAAAAGAATATACTAGAAAGGGTTTAAGAAAGTTTATAAATTATAAACATGTTTATAAATTATAAATACAAGATTAATCTAAATGAGTAAAATATCCTAGAATATCCAAGCATATTTTAAATATATCCACTACTTTCTATAGGGCAAATCAAAAATATATTTCAAACATAAGTAAATTTTGGAAAAGCACAAAAGTTTCTCACTATGTTTTATATAGTTAAAATTTGAAAAACCACATAAACTATCCTTTCCCTGTTTGGAGACAGGGAAAGGGTAAGTTTCAGGGTGACAATAGAGAGTAATCAACTACAATTTGCAGCCATAGCCACCACTGCTGCAACTCACGTCAAAAAGAAAAGTTACGTCAAGACCATCGTTAACTTGCTGCTGCTCAACTCAAGTAGAGTTCCATTTGAAAGTTGCTTCCAGTTTTTGTGTGTTTGACATATACTTTAATCTAAATGATGGCCCGCCACCAGGACGATCAAGAGATGCCTCTCAGTCGTTGTCTGTCCAAAAAGAATGGCCCCAATGGTGGTGGCTGTGGCAATGAAGACGGTGGTGGTGGTGATGGCGGCGATACCTCATCATCCAGTCCCATCTTTTGCAGCCATCTCTTGATATAATCACCTACAAAGTATCCCGCCACCGATGCCACAAAACCCGTGAGAAGCAGATTAACGATGGTCTTGGCGTAGCTCTTCTTCTGAACGTGAGCTTTCCCCAGGCCGAGCAGACACAGGCAAGCCAGCGACACGGCCGCCGTGGCTGCAAACTTGTAGTCTTTATCTCCACTGGCTCGAAACGAGAATCCATAAGTCAGTGGAGCGAGGCAGCCGAAGATGAGAAACGAGGCGATGGAGATGGAGCCGTTGATCCACAGGCTCTGTCCGATGTACTGCTCGAACGAGGTGTAATCGGTCTGGTACAAGCTCCCAATCTGGAAGAACAATGTCACTGACTAAAGTTTACAAAATGGAGAACCACTTACGTTATGGAAGAGCGTGATCAATCCCGCGATCAAGTTTGCTAGGCTCAAAGCGAGAACATTAACTGTGTCACATGAAAGATCAGCGAAGAAAACGAAAAAGAACGAAGAAAAGCTATGAAAGACATACTTGTTTTGGTTCCCGAGCCAGCTCCAGAGGACACCACTGCCAGGCTCGTGAGTGTCACGTCCAATCCTCCATATACAATGCTCTTGACATACTCCTGTATCTTTGGAGCTCCTGGTTGCTGGTGGGAAGGATCTGGGATAACTTCTGCGATGGACAGTGCGGTTTCCACAGCCTGCTTTGGATCATCGCCTCGAACTTGGATGAGTGCCTCGGGGCTCTTGACGGAGACTGTGGCAGTCACTGGTCCGGCAGCCGGAGCGAGAATGCCTGCTGCGTCTGATAACGAAGCTACAACTTCTTGAACGTCGAGCTCTCTCTGATCGGGTGTGAGCAATGGCTGCTTAAGTTCCTCCACTTGAGAGGTTTCTTTCGGTTTCTTTGGAATGGGAGCAACTTCCTGGATCTCGGACTGAGGTACTTTGCTCGCTGGCTGCTTTCTCCTGTCGATCAGACTCTCCTCTTCATCACCATCTTCCTCTTCTTCTTCCTCCTCCTCTTGAATGATCACCTTAGTTGGACGATCCGATCGAGCTGCGTCCTGATAGTTTTTTGGAGATTCTCTCTCCAAGGCATCGAGCAAGGCCCATCCTGTTGACGGCGTTGAGACGAGAGTCTGTGTGGTGGTCTTGTCGTTTTTCCCGGCCGGGTCGCTTTTCTGGCTCAAAGTCATGTCCACAAACGTGGTTGCGTTGTCGACTTGGACTGTGCTGACTTGCGTGTCTGCTTTCTTGGCTGTGCTCTTCACAGTCACGACGTTGGTGATCGTTTTGATCCAAGCCTGGATTCGGGTTTCCTTGCTAATAAACGATTCCTCGCGAGCACTGTCTTTGCGAGGAGCTGCACATCAGGTTTGTATTTGCGATGAGCATACCGGTGTTTGAAGAATGATGGTACTTACTTAGATCTTTAACTTTATCTTCCGTTTTAGCTGTTGACTGCAGTTTACTGTTGTCTTCTATGACGAGATCATTCGTTGGTTTCTCCTCGCTTGCGACTGCCCACCAAAACAGTTGAGGAAAAGTGAAAAGTAAAAACAAAATGGAGAACCTTTTGTTTCTTGATGTTCGGGCTTTGTATCAGCACCCCACGAGTAAGCTGGAATCAGAAGAGGTAGACAGTTTAAGCCAGCTTTGATGTCAACGTCCTCTGCTTGCAAGATCAGTGAGTGATGGTTCAACAAAAATAGAAAAAGAACCATACCTCGTTGAAAACTCCACGGAAGACAATCGCAAGAATCTGTCTTTTTTTCCTCTGCACTGATAACTCCTGCAGTGAGAAAGCTCAGCAGCAGCAACTTAAAGAGAGAATGTACGACATACTTTCATAAGAAACATGTGTTTCAGATGGAGCTGAAGCTGGAGGTTGCGTTGATGGAATATCAGCCTGAGAATCAGCTGCTATGTCACTGCTTTCGAGCTCGGAAAGATCTGTTGGCACTTCTTTGTCCTTCGAAGTACTACCCTGAGGCTCAGGTGCTTTTGTCACTGGCTCAACAACACGAACCTCTGGCAAATCTAGCAGTTATAGTTTCATAAGGATTCGATTGTATCACTGACCTTCTGTAACCTTTGAAGTGTGAGTTGAGCCTTGAGTATCTGTGACTGAAAACCGCAAAATCAAAGTATTTATAATCACAAGAAAGGGAATTCACGTACCATCTTCCTCTTGTGATGTGATCTTCAGGGATGACACTGCCTGGTTTGAGTCCTGAGCTTCTTCTCCAGTCCGAACTGTGATCTTGACTGTGAGCGACACCATCGTTTCGTTAGGATCCGGAAGTAACTCGTAAATTCATGGATACACACCGTCCTCCTTCACCAAAGTTTTCTTCAAAGGCGATGATCCCCAGCTGTAAGAGGGAAGCAAAGCTGGAATACAGTTAAATCCACCTTTGTCTTCCTCCTCTCGCACCTCAGCAGCACCTGGATAAAAACAGTGACGAATTAAGTAAGTGTCTCAGAACGCCTGTAGAGATAACAACCTGAATCCTGTTCTTGGATCGTCATCGAATCGCCATCTTTGTCCCAGTACTTGGGAAGCAAGACAGGCAAACAGCTGAACCTTTCCGCGTCTCCTTCCTCCATTGGCTCGGTCGTGGCTCTATTCTCTACAAGATTCAGCAAGATTATCAAAAGCTTTTCTTTCCAAAAACCATCCCAAACCTCGTGAAGATGACAAAAATGGAAGACAGCTCCTCTCCGACTTGTCCTGCTCACTTTCACTGCTCACATGTCCTGAGAAATAAACAAAAGCCCGCAAGTAGAGATCTGACTGTACATGTTTTATAAAAACGAGTAGAAAGGCAGCATGCGTACGTACCAGTTCCATGATCTGGAAGCACGATGGTTTGCTCTGGCCGACTCAAATCGATAAATATGTCGACTTCTCGGCTCTCCTCTTCACGGGATTCTTGAGATTTGCTTATTTCTTTCGACCACGGAAACTCTAGCGGCAGACAAGTGCCGAATCCTCGGCTGGCAACTGGCTCCTCGGACGATTGCTGCAATCGAAAGCTCCCTAAAGAACAAAAACAAAGAATGTAAACTCACTCGAGCGAAAAAATGGAGCCAACCTGTTCCATCCCAGTGAAAATCCGGAAGCAAGTACGGTAGACAACTAAACTGACGAGCTCGATCGCGTACTCCGAGCAGTGGCTCGTGCAAACCATCGCGAACTGCAAAAGCTCTCGCTAGAAATACAGGAGAAACTGAAAGAAAAGTCTTACCTTTACGAAAGAAAATGGAGAAGCAAGCTAAACATCCCCATGCCTCGGACTCCTCCTCCTCGTGTTCTTGGTCTCCAAGAGCAACACCTCGTGGAGTTTCGGTCGATGGTGGCGGGGGAAGCGTCACACTCTCGGCCTCTTCGAGTTTCTGAGCCTTGGCTTGATCCGCGGATAGACTCACACAGCCAGTCGACGTCCTCTTTCGTTTCTTGAGAATCACCCGCCTCGTGATGCATGATCCACAGTTTGGACAGAGCAAGTGATGGCTGGTTTGCTCCTTGAGGATTCTCTCCAGATCATACTCAAGCTCGGGCTTTTTTTCGCTGGTAGAATCGAGTGCTTCTTTCAGCTTCTCCCGCAGCAGATCACCGTCGTGAACCGGATGACCGTGAAGAACTGGAAGAACTTCCAAAACCTCGTTCACAGCTGACCCAAGTTCTTCATGCGAAATGGTCGGATCCAAGACCTGTCCATTGCTGGGCTCGACTTTCTCCTCTTGGATCTCTCCTTCAAGATTTTCTTCGACTTTCTCAAGTCCCCCGCGACCATTGCTCATCGTCTCCGCCTTGATTCCAGTGTGTTCTTCTTCCTGATCCCGCGGAGAGCTCTCGGACACCTCCAAATCCTTCTTCTCACTCGTCACTTCACTCCCTTGTTCTTGATCTTCCTCGGAGCCCAGCCATGCATGCACGCTCTGGAAGCTCCCGCAATGCTTTCGGTGCTCTCGTCTCATCTTGGCGCTGGGACGAGGATTCGGGTAAATCCAGCCACAGTGCTTGCACGTAGAGATCCCTGTTCCAAGCGAGGGAGAACAAAGACTTAGACAAGCTACATCCTCCATAGCCATGGCGAAGAGCTACCTAGAAAGAAGAGAAAAAACATCCATGTACCTTTCTCTCGATCGTGGAACACGCTGCTCTCCGACTTGGGTTTCTTCCTGCCCCTGATCTCTCGCACAATCCCAGCGCTCCCATTCGCATTCTCATCGGATCGCTCCGACGACGATGAAGTCGAGCTGTTTTCATCCTCGGCCAAGACTCCCTCGGACTGCTCCTTCTGTGCTCGCGCTTCTCGCCCGCCACCCTTGGACGAATTCCCAGACGACCCCCCCTCCTCCTCCTCCTCCTCCTCTTGCGATTTTCCATCGCCTCGATCCGAGCGATCCTCATCGTGGTGCTCGAGTTGACTTTTGGCGGCGCCTTCACCCGGATGATTGATATCCATGGCTCCAAAATACCATGGAATGGAAGAAATCCAGTGGATCAACTGACCTTCTCCTTCGCTCTGTGGCTAGGGGCGCTCTCGCGATTCTTATTTTGTGCTTCCAGCCAGCCAGCGCTAGCCAAGAAAATGCCAAGCTGCGAAACCCGGCCACCACTAAATACGTGCACGAGAGTCATGTGGGAGAGTTTACTCCAAGAAGCCTCCAAATGTGGCTATGGGAGATCGGATTATCATAGAAAGGAAAACCATGAAAGAAAAAAAGGAGAGAAGAGAGAGATGCTATGAAATCTTAAGAATGAGATCGTCCGGAATTTTTCGCCCGCCAGACAAGAAGACTTTACGCGCGCGCCAGCCATTCTTGAAGAATCCATCCTTGTCACTATATTCGCGCTACATCCAACGGCCAGCGCTACTTCTCCAGGCCCAGCCGTCCGATCTAGGGCTAAGTCACCCTGTTAACCCTAACCCTAATATATTAGGCACAGCATTCAGATTTTAAGTTAGTTTCGTTTTGTTGCTCCTCAAATTTACAGCGATTGATCAATTTCTCTGTTTGGGTTCTGTATGATGAAGCTATCATACCATATCTGCAACATGGAAAGAAAAAGAGTTAAAAAAAACAAGATCATTTGGACAGCAAGAACAAACAGTCCAAAGAAAACAAAGATTGCAAGGAACTAAGAACAAGAAAAGCACAAAAAAAACAGGACTTACCACTCTGATGATATGTCCAATCTCTTGAGGAAGCTCCTGAATTTGCCCCCTTCCAGCTTCTCCAGCAGCTTCTTGGCCCCTGGAACCTCGCCCTCCACCAATCTCCCCAAGTAGTAGCAAGCTCCACTCGCCATGATCTGCTTCCTGTTCTTGGAGTTCCCGGCCAGAGCAATCAGTGCCGCCACAGCCCGCTCCGCCGCCAAGCTCGGCGACCCCGACGTATCCAGCAGCCGAACGATCCCCGAGATTCCCTTCTCCTCGCTCGCCACCATCCTCCGGTTGCTCTCCAGCTCCACCAAGTTGGCCAGCGCGCTCACGGCGTGCTCTTGCGCGCTCGCCATCTTCGCGTCCAGCATCCTCACCAGCGGAGCGATGCATCCGGCGTCACCGATAGCTCTCCGGCTCTCGGAGCACACCGCCATGGCTGCCACCGCCGCCGCGGCGCACTGCTGCACGCACGGCGATCCCTGCGTCAGGAATCCCACCAGCGGGTGCAAGAAACCGGCCTCCAGGATCGCTGGAACTGTGGCTGGCGACGACGCGATCCCGCGGAGGATTCCAATCCCTGCCTCCTGCGACGCCGGAGCCTCCGATCCATCGAGAAATCTCGCCAGCGGCTCCAGCACCCCTTCGCTCCACACCAGAGCACGCTTGAAGTTGTCGTCGTCCATGGCCGCCAAGTTCTGTAACGCCACCGCGGCGTGCTCGCGCGAGTGTGGAGTCCCGGAACTTAGCAAGTAGATGAGCACCTGGAGGGACTCCTCCTCCTCGGAGATCCTCCGCCGGATCTCCTCCACCGCGGAGAGGTTCCTCAAGACGCTGGCGGAGACAGCCTGCGCGACTGGAGTTCCACTCCGGCACAAATCCAGCAGCGGACTCACACCCCCGCAAGCCGCAACCGATCGAGCATTGTCTGGAACCAGCGTGAGACTCTGCAAGGCCCTGGCGGCTCTCTCGCTGGCCAGAGACCCTCTAGCCGGATCAAGCAGCCGGACGAGCGACTGCAAAGCTCCCTCGCTGACGATCTCGTGGACGCAGCTCTCCACGGTTGCCAGGCTCGCCACTGCCGCCGCGGCCTTCTCTCGCATCACAGGAGCTCGCCCGTCCAAGAGATGGACGAGCGCTGGAATGCTTCCCGGAGCCGCGGCTACCACCAAGACGTTCTTGTCATCCTCGGCCATGAACTCCACCAGCGAGTCGAGAGCTTTGATCCGCGACTCGGTGCTCCCCATCTGGAGCCTCGCCAGCAAGTCCTTGACGGTCCATTTCCTGCTCTCTTTGCTCACGCCCATCACCGAGAGGGTCATGAGCGGCGATGCCTGGCAAAGAACACCGGTCTCGATCATCAGCCTCGAGTCGTGGAGGTAGCCATCCAGCCTGCTCGCCAGGGAATCCAGCCTACTCTGCATTTGGAGCTTCCCTCCGCCATAGCTGGGAAGCGCGCACTGCGACACGAGCTCCAAACCCTCGCCCAAGCTTGCCACGAGAGATTCCAGGAGCTCCAGGCAGAGTGTGTTCTTGGCGAAGAACGGCGCGCCGCCGAGCTCGGTCAAGAGATCTGGCAGCCGCTCCAATCTCGAGATTATCATCTTCCATCGCACAAGGAAGGCCTTGACGGACGAGGAAGCCGCGACGATCTGCGCTACCAGACTCTGTGCCTGCTCTAGCAATCCCTCCCCGCCGCCGCGATCAAGAACACCGTGTTCTTGCTCCCTGGCCGTTACCATTGCTCGCTCCAGCCTTCCTAGCCTAGATTTCGCGAGCTCCGCGAGATTCCTGTGAGCGTCCTGGCATCGCCTAGACGATCTCTACAAAGAAGCGCCCTAGCAATGCTCTACCTGGCGCGTGGCGATCCCTGGCGCCCTCCATAGCCATCGATCGAGCTAAATGGGGCAATGGCGCTACCTCGGCGCTTCTCTAGGTAGGAAGAACACACAATATGTGCAGAGCGCCAGGTGGCAGGTGACGTGGCGTACGCGTCACTTCACTTCTTCCACATCAGCCGGCTAGACCACGTGTCTCCCTGTCATTGAGCGCACTCTATCATCATATCTTGGCTGACTCGCCGGTAACGGACGGTGTGGCCGCCACTGCCGTACGACCCGGGGCAGGTATACCGGTCCAATATTATGTGACGTACAAGTAAGGATCCATGTCAATGGACGCGGCACGTGTCGCTTTCCAAGTGGCAGGCATTAGTATTGAGTGCTCTTTAAAGATCGAGCTTTGACTGTTATTGTTTCATCATGGCGTAAGTATGAAAGAGAAAGCAATAAAAATTCAAATCAAGAATAACGGATCTCAATTCCAGCCCTAATTCTCGATGCCAGCGAATATTCTAATTCTCGATGCTCACGAATATCCCACGATTTAGAAAAGCGCGCAAAGCAAACATGGCCTTGCCCAGCTTTTTCCAGGCAAACTTCCATTCCATCCATGAGCAGGGCGCTTAAAGATCCAATCCAACTCCCACAACACCACTTTGGAGCTCTCTACTTAGGTTCTACACAAGAATCTTTCCAAGAATTTTATAGAGATTTTTATACTTGGGGGGGCCATTCAATGACAATAGTGGGCTATATTATGTTTGTATGTAGGTCTTTGGAAATCTCTCTCGTGAAGTCAAGCTATGATATCACACAAGTTACGTAACACACATGATCAAACAAGTTGGTATCAAAATGACAATATTCCACAGACAAAAGGATAGATATTCTGTCTGTAGCTTTGAAAAGTAGGAATGTTTGTTTGTACACGCTGGCTCGCACCACGGGGAGCCTCCGTACGAATATGGCCACCCTCATTGCTATGGATGATCTTAGCCTTCTTTTTTTCTCGGTAGCCTTTCGAGAAAAAATTGACAATGGAACAACTCGAGAACAAAACTCGAGCCACTGCTTTGTCCACTTTCATATACTTGTGATGCGAGCCAGCGCTTAAGCTTAGCTCAAAGAATTCCTTTCGAGTTGACTCCAAACGAATGCCTGTTGAGTGGATCCATCCACGCAACGTCAGCTGGATCCAGGAAAAAGAAAAAGGAGCATTCGCTTTGGAGTTATCAGCCGCTTGATAGCGATCGATTTGATCGTCGAAGAACTCGCTGGAAAAGTTTTGTAGCTCTGGAATTAATGGAACTTCATCTCTTCGATCGACGCTCCGGGGTTCTCGACCTCCGACGATCGTAGCCACGTCTTCTTTGATCATAATCGGGGTACCAGCGGTGATCTCTTCCTCTTTTCCTGCCATAATCCCGGTTATCCTTCCTTCGACGATCGTCACCACGGTAATTCTCCCTGATTCGATCATAGCCATCGCCATTCTTGCTTCTAAGATCACTGCCAAGATCATGATCACTGTCCCTTCTCGTAGCATCTCTCTTTTTCCTCTCGTCCTCCTTGAGAAACTCCACGATCACCATCGTCTTGTTATCATTGGACTGTGCTCTTGCAACGATCTCCTTCAGTGCCTCAAAGTTTTTCTCCTTGAGCGCCTTGCTGATCTCTTCCCGGCACGATTCCACATACTTCCTCTCCAGGCCATCCGACGCAAGAACCAAAAACTCGCAGCCATCACAAATCTCCTGCTCCAAGATCTCCGGATCAGCGACCACTGCCTGTTCTTCCCGGCTCTTCTTTGGATTGTCCTTGAACTCAAAGTCGCCGATCGCGCGTGTCACTGCCAGAGTGCTCAGAGATCCATCCTTGCTCACCACCCCGTCATGGACGACGCACTTGGATTTGCGAGCTCGATCGGCTTCGTCCAAGTTGCTTGGGACGTGATCCTTGGTCAGGTGGATCATCTGCTTGTTCTTGACGAGGCTGCAGTAGGAATCACCAGCGTGAGCCACGAAAAATCTGCCCTCTTTCACAAGAGCCACCACCGCCGTCGTTCCAGACACCGTCGATCCATGCCCGGCGAATCCCTCGTCAGTGCTCAAGAACACGCTGTGCAAGCTCTCGCGAAACTCACCCTTTTCGAAGCTCTCGTCGCGCACCAGGAGCTTGAAGAGATTGCTGGAGCAATACCTCGCGGCATCATCCCCACCGTGGCCATCGAAAACCCCAACCAGCGAAACGCCCGATGGCAGGCCTGTCGCGATGGCGCAGCCATCCTCCATCTCGCGCCGGCGCCCCTGATCCGTCACGGCATAGATTCGCACAAGCCGATCCTGCGCCTTGTGGAGTCCTCGCGACTGTCCACCAAAGCTATCGTACGCCATTTCTATTAATGAAGAACCCTAAAAACCACAAGGCCAAATTTATAAGGCAAAGCCTTTTCGTTTACTAGAATATCCACCGATTTAATCTATACAAGCTCGGTAACATCGACATCTATACAAGCTCGGTAATATCGTCGTCCACGTCCATAGAAACTACAGACTCGCACCATTGATCAACGAGGACGTGATCCTGGAAAACTCTCACTCGTTTTGCTGCAACATTTGGAACTGCGTCGAAATCTAGCCTGAAAAACCAAAAAGAGAAGTGTAAGCAAAAAGCGAGAACAGGGAAACGAAAAAACTTACAATCTGGAGACCTTGTCTCTCGAGATCAGGAGCTTCTGCTGCTGCTGCTGAGACCATGCAATGGCAATAGCTTCCTGAAGCGAATGAGTAACTTCTGCTACAGAATCCCCCACTGCCGAATCGAGGAGCAAAGTCGACCAGACTGGTACCACCGATCTCAGTAGGATGTCGAGGCACAGCTTTGCTACCTGGCGATTTTTCACCTGGAATGGTCTCTGTTTCTTAAAATCCACATAGAACATGGCAGCAGCCTCGATGAATTTGCTCACTTTCCCTCCTGTCCGCTCGAGCTCAACGTTGAAACCGCCCACGAGCTCCAGTGCTGATGCAACTTCGCGCAAACTGAGCCTGCTAGCAGAAGAGTGTGGAACTTCACAAGGTCTTGGAGACTCAGGTAGACCGGAACCAAAACTTTCCTCCCGACACTGAGTTTGTAAGCACGAAGGTACTGTAGCTTCTCACTGTAAACGGCCGCTTGATGGTTGTCGATTAAGGAGGGAACCATGGCCCTGTCAAATAGATACAGTCGATTAGACAAAGATATCACAAACAGCAAGCGCTTACTGCTTTAATCCGACAGCTGCTCTTCTTCCAAGAAGAATTCCTGTCCGCAGCGTATCAATCAAGAGCGAGGGATCCGGTCCATGGAAGCAGCAAAAAACTGTGTAGCGATCGATACCTTCTCCATTTTCCGAGCTCCAAAAGAAGCTTGGCAGCAGAGAAACCCGTCGCAAGAGGAAGTATAAGCATAGCCGACTCAAGCGACCATTCCCATCCAGGAAAGGATGGATCTTCTCCATACCGTGTACAAACGTGCCTGCTGCCGAGATTATTGCTTCGTCAACTCCACGGGAAGCCTCGATGCGTTGCTTCAGCTCTGAAAGTATCACGTCCAACCTCTCCTCCAGCCGAAGGCATGGCATTCGCTTCTCAGGACCATCTTCGAAGCTCACGAACACATCTTTTGTTCTCCACTTCCCTCCGCCAGGGATAAGCATCTTGTGCCACTCCTGCAACAGTTGAATCGATAGAAACTCCCTGCCAAGAAAAGTGAGCAAAGATCTACAAAGCTTGCATCTTTGTTATCTTACTCCTTGACAGCCGCTCCCATGCATAGCTTCAAAGCGTTGTAGAATGCGCGTAGCTCCTTGTACTGCTCCGTCTTGAAACTCAAGTCGCCATAGATTGCTCCCACTGTTTGCTCGAACGAAAACGCTAAAATGTCGCAAAACCGGTTAGATCTCACTGTTGCGGAAACTGAATTGCGGCCTCTTTGTCTCAATAGCCCTGGAAAGAATAAAAAAGACACTTCAGAGAATTGGAAATTCTTGGCGATCGACGCACCTGAAAACGCTGCCAGTTGTTCCGAGTAGAACTCCCTACTGCACAAGAAATCCTAGCCGACGCTCCCGCCAATCCTGTCATGGGTCGATCGATCGGAGAATGTAGATAGTGAAAGCTCACCTTGACGAAGAAGCCGCATCAAGCCCTACCTTCGGCAAAGCCGTGGTGAACGAATAGCGCCGTCACGCGAAAAAACGCTTCCTCCTCCATCGCTCCAACCCTAGCAATACGCTTCTCTAGCATGAAGTAACTCGCGCGGGCTTCACTAGCAGCCGTTGGATAACCCAAGCTGGAGCAATCTTTATCGTTAATACGTTTCTGCAGAATAAAACCGTTGGATCGATTTAGTTGTCAGCTGAAGCTGTGTAAGCCGTTGATTGCGCTGTGGTAGGGCTTTCTCACGCTCGACACGAGACCTCTTCTCCTACAGTCTTGGAGAAGAGCTTTCCAGTCGGGATTTCTTTCGAGCGTCCTCGCATTTCCCACGACCCAGAGCGAAAACTTGGCCCTCGTCAGTGCTACGTTCATGCGCCGGACGTCCGCGAGGAATCCCACACCAGCTTGAGAGTCTCCAAACGAAGCACGCACTGTCGAGAGGACGATGATGTCTGCCTCTCGCCCCTGGAACGAATCCACCGTGTTTACGTCGATCCCCGAGTGTAAACTCCTCATGTTTTCTTGGAGAACTTTTCTCTGCTCCTGGTATGGAGTGATCACTCCAATCCTCCCGGGGCGAACTTCCTCCGGATACCTGGAAAAACCGGTTGATATCTTTCTAGCAACTTCGTGAAGGAATGTGGAGTACCTCTCTTTGAGAACACGAAGGAGTTGAAAGATAAACTCTGCCTCGTCGGGATTGGTAAGCGACTGCATCGAACCTGGCCTTTCCTGCCCGTCTCGAATGTCAAAAAACCTGTATGGCTCGAAACACCTGTGCAATTCCAATTGAAACAGTCTTCTTTTCATGAATTCAAAAGCTCAAGCATACGAACCTTTCGCGGTGGAAGGTAGCGCTTCGGTTCCCATGTAGAACAGTGCTTCCATCTTTGAGCTGGCCACCGTAGTAGTGTGTCGATGGAAAGCTTCGAATCTCAGGGTGCATGCGATACTGTGCAACCAGAACGAGAAAACTTGATAAAATGGAAAAAGACTTCCAAAATCAAAATCAACCGACCTGCGTTGTTAACATGCTGACCGGATAGCCATGCTTTTGGAAACGCTCAAACATACTGCAGTCAAACAGGAGCCTTGATGCTGGAACCGAGAGAACAGTCGCTGGTAGCTGTTTAGGATCCCCAATCTGAAAAACTTCTAGTAAATATCTTTCAAAATACTCCCGTAGCACTTTACCAGGATGCACTTCCCACGAGTCGCTTTCAACAGCTGAAGCGGTATCAGAGTTGATGGTTCCACGGCCTAAAAGTTCGTTCGAAAGGCGTCATTCAAACTCTGATTTTTCATCCATACCTGTGCCGCTTCATCGATGATCACAGCGTCGAACAGCATCTCCGCGGCCTGCGCGTCTCTCGTTGCAATGAATTCCATCAAAGTCGAGTAAATGTGACCTCCGCAGCCGCTTAGCGTCGTCAGTACCACATCTGCTTCTCTTAAAACTTCAAGCTTCATGGCTTGTTTCTTCTTTCGGTTTGATCCCATAAGAAAGCCATGCTCGCGATTTTCCACCTTGATCAGCTCTGATAAAAGCAGTCTCTGCTGCTCTTGAAGACCTGCTAGCTTGTCAAGTTTCGGGATCCCATCCTGACTTTCCACCTCGGCTGGAGCAGCTAACGCTTGCATATTACCCAGGACTTCATCGAGCTTGGATCTTAGTTCCTGTGGAGAGTGCGCATTGTGTACCCCTGCATTCTCAGCCATTCTCTTCGCCACCAGCCGGTCGATGTGCACAGCCATTGCCTGGGAATGCACCCTCTTCGTGTCCCCAACGCGGACAATAGAGGGCCAGTAAGTCCCTCCATCGTAGTTGTAGACGCCATGCTTTGAGATTCTTGTCACCAGTTCGTCCACGGCTGCGTTGGACTGAGCGCAGACAAGGATCCTTGTAGCTTTCAGCTTATCTCGGAACTTAGTTTGGTGCTTATCTGTTAGCACGTCTAGCATCTCGTGTTCCTCGGCTTTGCCAGCCTCCTCGTTTGCATGGGCCAGCAATGCGCTCACAATGCCGAGGATTGTTCTTGTCTTTCCAGTTCCTATTACAAGCAAAGAAAAAACAATTGAATGGTTTATATCAAGAGAACGCGAAAGCCGTTTACCTGGTGGCCCTTGTATGAGAGAAATCATCTGGTCGGCGACAGCAGCGATAGAGCTCAGCTGACTCTCGTTGTACTCGCGTCTAAGCTTTGACCGCAGTTGTGGTGGAAGGCTTTGAGTTCTTGATATTTCTCGTGGAGGAGAAGCCGAGAGTATTGTTTCCAGTAATGGAAACAAGTGCATCGCCGCCATAGCCTGCTGCTCGCGGATGAACGTCGTCACGGACGTAAGCTTGTTCAAATGCCACGTACTTTCCGTCACTAGCATCTCTCGCAACTTGGAAAGTCTTTCGCAGCTGTGAGGAAGATAAACCTTGACGAGAAGGTTGTTTCTTTTCTCAACCTGCAATGCAAAGAAATTCTTTTAGAATGCATCAAGCTCTGGAGCGTTTACTCATCTTGCCGATCATGTGAGAAGTCCGAGCTGGATCACGTAGAAGTATCAAATCGTTCTCTGCGAGTTTAACGGTGTGGCCGTCAAACTCCACAAGGTGAAAGTAGCCTTCCTGCCGCAAGGAAAACGCGGTGACAACGTCGGAGCGCGACAAATCCATTGTCTCGAGAGACCTTTCAAGGTGTGCCTTGAACTCTTCGAAGCAAAGCGGCCGGAAGATCTCTAGATAATGCTTGTAGCTTTGAAACGTCAATGGAACTTCCAGGAGCTCCTCCGAGTGATCTCCGTGCATGCTCCAGATGTCTAGCGATAGAACACGCTTGTGCCATTCGTCCAGCATCGCTGGAAACGCAGCTCGATCATAGAAGTCTTGCTGGCCTTCCCCGACCTTGCCCTCCAAGCGTTGCTTCTTGCATGATGGAACATCTTGCGACACAGGTCTCTTTTTCCGGTCGGAGGCCACCTCGGGTTTCGCACTCGCCGTCTCTTCGGTGGCCGTCTTCACACATTCAGTCATCGCCTCTTGGATGACCACCTCCTTGTTGACACATTCTTCGTCGGTCAGGTCGAGTATAACGTCGTTCTCTGTTGATTCGGACGAGGATACCGTTTCATCGAAGATCTTCACAAGCTTTCTCAAACCATGGAGAATAATCCTCTGATCCGCGTTCCTACAACAAATATATAAAAATGGTTAAGCTCAAAGCTAGCATTCATCCGCTCACCGAAAAAGTGCCAAACTTTCGACAAGCTTTCGAGAAGCATTGTTGCCTGAGAGAAGCTCCATGATCTCCTGAAAGTTAGAGATAAAGAGAACTGGAAGCAAGAAAAACATCACGTACCGGATGGATTTCTGGATTCAAGGCCAATGTATTCTCGGCATAGCGCATGACCAGCATTAAGATCTTTCTGGCTTGATCATCCTGGAAACCTTCTGGGTACATGAGGATCTGTATGGAACAAAAGGAAATAAATGAGAAAAGTAGAGAAACAAACACTTGCCTCGAAAAGAACACACAAGCCTTCGCGATCGATCGGCTGGAACTTCTGTAAAGTCCGCCGCAAGGGAGACATCACCCTCGCTCGATCCAGATCCCGAAGAACATCCAGCAGCGGCTCCACTCCCGGAGAAAACTCTTGCACGTAGAAATCCTTTGCCGCGTAGTAATGGCAAACACACTGGATGCATCCGCGCAGCGGCGAGGAGAGCTTCCTCCACAAGCTCGGGAGACCCCCCCAGCGCGATCCAGGGGTGTAGAAGCGCAAGGGCTCCAGGAGCTGCCACACGACGTGCTGGAGGCCGGGCGCGCACCACAGATGCGCGCCATCGGGGAGCTTCTCCACGAACAAGAAGGCATCGGCAAACCTGCGAGGAGAAACCCTGATCGATCGACCGCGAGAAAGCGAAATATTTCCCCCAAGAAAAAGCACCCACCATTCCTGCTTGAGAATCTCTTGCTCGTGGCCGCGGAGATTGTAGAGATCTCGCCAGCGCTCCCACAGCGCCCTCGCGCTCTCGTGCTGCATTCGCTCCGATCGACCCGAGAGATCGATTCAAAACCCCAGCGAATGGAGAATGGAACACGCGCACAAATTTTTTTTCGTACGTGAAAGGGGTCGAAGGTTCGATTCCCAGATACCACAGCCCCCCGCATTAAAATTTTCACGTGTTTAGCTATAAACCCTAAGTAAACATAATTTAATGGAAGTGTTATTTTCTAAAGAGGCTATTGATAGAGTTAACACTAAGGAAGCAATTTTGCCGCTGGTCATCCATAGCTCCAAGTCGAGCCCAACACTCCCACAAAGAAATCACAATCGGCTGCCATGACCAAGTTTACGAAGGCAGTGTCAAACGCTTGCTTGTCTCCGAGCAACGCCATATACTCCGTCATTCTGATTGTTCCAACTTGCCTTGGAACATCGCTGTAATAAAAATTCCAGTCTTTGTACTCCTTTGATTCATCCACGACGTTCTACACACATTCAAATCTTGTGGGATGAAATCCTTGTCAATGGTTTTCTTACCTGCATTTCCGTGGAAAGCCACACATTTCTTACGTGTGGGAATCGCCTCCGGAGGACATTGGCGAGCTTCATGTATTCGTCAAACGAGACAACTTCCATCTCCCTAGCTTTGTCACCCTGTCTCACATGAATGCTCAATAGAGGCTGCGGCATCCAAGGTCCATAGCCACTCCACACAAGCTCTTCCATGGGATTACTCTCTCTTGCGAGCGGCCATTCGGTGGAAAGAGTTTTAAGCACCAGTTTTGCCGCTTCCTCCCCAAAGGCCCTGTGTCGTTCTTGGTTTAGAAGATTGCAAAGATACTCACTGGGAAATCGTGTGAGATAGCGTAGTGCCTGTATGCAAGCATTAGCATATGTTTGGATTATCAAAAACTTGCCTGAGCTCTCCACCACCTTCGGTGATTTGCGTTATAATGTGTCATGAGCTTGCCCTTTACCCCTACAGTAGGTCGCATTGCTTTCCAAGGCTCCCCCCAAAAACTAGAAACAAGATAATACTACTTGGTTGAACTGTATGAGAAAAACCTCTTTTTCTCACCTTGGAATCTTACCATTCCATTGATTGCCACTAAACTCTTTGATAATTCCCTTGTCCCAAGCCTGTTTTTCCGAAGCAAGCCGCAGTGCCCTTGCACTCCTCAGAAGCCTCGGGAACAAAGTAGCAGGACCAGCGAGCGTGGTTGGATCCTAACATAATAAAACTCTCAGTCTGAGAAGTATTAATCAAAGAGTCCAGAAACCTGTGCACCCTTTGTGCCTGGCACCGTGGTAATCCTTGGTGATGAAAACCCGGCCTTGTATCAGCGCAGCTCCAAACATTCCGGCCATTGACACCATATCGGATCCAACTCCAACCGATTTGCGCGTCTCGTCGTGATGCCAAGGTGCCAGGAGAAATCTCGCGTCGCTACAGTTTCTCGGGTGTTGGTGCAACCAAATCTCACGCTGGACGCGTCGTGTTAACGGGAGATTATCGTCATCACCGCCAATGACCTGTCCCAAATAAAAACCAAGATGATCCGAGAAAGAACTTACCCATGGAACGGTGCCGCTTGTCTCTGTATTCATGTCAATCTCCTCTTTTAACTGGGCAAGTCCCTTCCAGGATGGATCCTTTCCCCGATCAAACTCTGCAGTCGCCTCGCTGCAACGCTTGCAATCCTGGATGTGCGGTGCATTGATCGTCACCTTCAATGGTGGAGGTGTGCCGCTCGCTCTCGACTCCAGATCGCTGCTCCACAGATCGACCAGGAGTTTTACTCTGCTTGATGTCACCGAGGTCGTGGAATTGCAGGTTGATATTGGTAAAATTACTTGATGATCCTGTCTCATCCAGTTCAGCCTGAAACCAAGCAAGACAATGAAGTTCAAGGACAAGATCCAAAACAGAAGCCATTTGAGGGAATCCTTGGGACGCTGGTCCTTCATCTTTCTGAGAAAGACGAACTAATGAGGCTTTTTTTCTAATTAAGAACAAAATCGAACGTGTTGAGCACTAAATTTCTCAGACATGCAATGTGAGAAAGATAAGGGCTGTCCATCAGATTCAGAGGGCACATTTGAATGCTCTTCATTCTGGCTCTTATTGACTTGTCTCATTCCCGTCACCTGTTGAGCCTTGAGCGGGAGAGTATGAAATCAATTTGTGGTAGTGCGCAGTCGTGGCAAGTGGCAGTGAGCTCTAATGTCCGTGCTTTGCCAACTTTGAAGCGACACTAAAGAATTGCAAAGCATTGGCGCTCGAAAGAAACTCCATGATTTCCTGAAACTTGATAAGAAGTTTGTGGGTAAGAAAAGGCCATTGTATTCTCGGCATAGTGTATCACTAGAATGAAAAACGTAGAGAAACAAAGACTGGACTTCGCGATCAATTGGCAGCTTTCGCAAAATCCGTAGCCAACCTGCAAGAAAAGCCCTGATCAATCGATCGAGAGAAAGCGACCAATATGGGGAGATTTCCCATGCTCTCAACCCCAGAGTTTGTAGATATCTCACCAGCGCTCCCACAGCACGCCCTCATTCTCGTGTTCAGCCCCGGTTCTGAAAGCATTATATTACTCTAAACTACTGTACAGTTCGGGTGGTATGGCTTCCAACTCTAGTTGTTCCGTATCGAAGGTACATTTCGCCATTGCATCCAATGGTTTGCTCCGCCCGGTACCAATCCTCCTGGGCGGTGCTACCCCGGACCGAGAATGCAATCACTTGCATCATCAAGCTCGCCTTCTTCTTTGCCTTCGTGATTGTCCACATCGCATCGCGCAAGAACACTGGATCCAGATCTTGATTGCTGCTGTGGCTCCTCGCGACCGAGTGGCCGGTCGATTCCATCGTCTGGTCGCCCAGGCGATCTCGTGGGGTGCTCGTCCGGGAGTCATCGTCGGCACTCTCGCGGTGCGCGGCGGCGGCGGCGCGAGAGAGAACAGCATGGCGGAGGAGAGATCCCGCTGAATCCACTGCTCGACCTCGGCCATTCCAAATCGCTGGAGCTCCAGGACGTCCCTAGATTTCGTGCAGCGTCTGGCAAGGATCTCCGTCTCCTCCTGGTGCTCGTAAGAACCATAGCGCTCATGTCTTCGTGCGCCCCAAAGGGACTCTTCGGCTTCGTGGAGCTTCCAGGCTTGCGAGAAGCAGCCCCGGCTCGCGAATTCGGCCAGCATCCAGATGCCTACCAGTCGCCTCGCAGACGAATTTCATGGTCGTGCAGGACAAGCGGTTGAGGGATCCTCATCAGCATGAAGATCATCAAGCTCCAGGCGTGGAGCACCGGGAATCCATGCACGGCAAGAGGAGACCAAGCTACACTTTCTCGATGATCATCGCCCAGGTGGGTTCTTGTGTTTCTGTCATTTTTTCAAGTCGCAACTTCCTTCTTTAGATTTCTAAGGACAGTAAGATAGTC